TGTGCACATAACTCCGAAAAATTATGCTTGAATTCTTTTAATATACTTGAAAAGAAGTACACTGATGGGATAGAAGGGACAACAAGATTATCATAATTCATTATTAATCAAGTAATATTCTTAATATTCTTAAAAAAGAAAGAATATATTAACCAACCAAAAGAAGTTGTAAAGGTCGAGACAAACGCTCATGATTTTGATTAAAATGTGCACATAACTTCAAAGTTCACATGTTTGGTGTATTCATGAAAAAGTATGTTAATTTTTTGTTTTAAAAAGCTTGATAAGAAGTACGCAGATAGGCTATAAAGCTTGTCCAATAATAAATAAGATTATCAAATTTTATTTTATTTAAAATGTGTTTGTATCCATTGTAGATCAATAATGCATGAAAATGGTTTAAATAGAATTTTTTTTATTTGTGATAAATATTGTATATTGACTCGAATGATATAGGTCACCCTTTCTTATGTGAGTATTTGTTTATTTTATTGTGATTAAAACTAATTTAATTAATTTCATTTAAGAGTTGAGTTAGAATGAGTTTAATTTTTAATCTAAATCTATTAATTAGCTTAATTTTTTTCTATTCATTCAATAAAAGTTAGGACAAGTAATTAATGTCTTTTTTAATGTCTCTTAACTTTTAGGTTTTTGAGATAACAACAAATTTTAAAATATTAAAAGTAAAAATAATAATTATAAATTTGTTTTATAATTTAGTGAGTGAAAATTTTACGAAAACGAGTTCTAGAAAATTTTGTAATAATATTTACTCATAATATTATGTATATGATATAAAATATTTATTTACAATACGTATAAAAAATATACAATATCATTTATGATGAAAAAATACAATTATTTTTTACTATCAAATTGTTAGAATAATAATATTTTTGTTATATTATCATAATGCATTTATTGCTCAAAATTTATTGTCCTTTGACAGGTTGAAGGAAAATATTATTACACTGAAAAATAAGAAAGCTGTAATTAACAGGAGTAAGGTTTTCTTACTTTTACAGTTAACTATATAATATAGTTCGATTCGGCGGACCTCGAAGATTCCGACTTACACCACGAATAATTTCAATCTGAACACTTTTTTTTTTTATGAAAAGTGTAATTAAACATAAAAGGGAAAAGAAAGACTGAAAAAAAAAAGTGAAAAGTGATATCATTTTAAATAATTCAAAAAAATTTAAATCTAAAGAGTTGGACTAAATTTTTTTATTATAATTTATTTATTTATTATTTTATATTTATTTATTTATTATCATTATAATAACATAAATATTAATAAAATATTTAAGATATAATTAATCATCCAAAAATATAAATAATTGATTTAATACAATAAATATTCATATATTTTACTTTTGATATAATAAAATGTAATTTTAATACAAAATTTTAATTATAGTAACTACTTTTATTTTAATTCTATTAATTATTAAAATAAGTTTTGACTTGTCACAGATTATTCTGACGGACAATAGTCGATAGTTTATTGACAAAAAGTAGGCCGACTTCTACTAGAGCTTGAAGATCAAGCATGTAACTAGCTCTATCGAGGATCCTCAAAAGAACGGTCAGGCGAAAACAGTAAACAAAATGATCGTTGCTGAGTTGAAACGTCACTTAAGAGATGCTAAAGGCACATGGGTGGATGAATTAAGAAAAGTTCTCTATGGTTATCGATGCATGCCACATAGCACCACAGGTAAAACTTCATATAACTTGACGTATGGAACAAATGCAATGCTACCGGTTAAAGTTAGAGAACCCTCCATCTGGAGAAAGTTGGAGGATATGAGCCTCAATGATGAGCAACTACGGGTGGAGTTAGACATTTTGCCAGAGAGAAGTGAAACAACGGTCATTTGGGCTGAGGTCAAAAAAGGGTGGTGGGTCACCTATACAACACAAAGGTAAAACCTCGACAATTCCTTGAAGGAGACTTGTTTCAAAGACTTGTGACTCTCAGAAAAATCGCACTAATAGGAAACTAGTAGTTAACTGAGAAGGTCCTTTTAAAATTCTAGAAGACTTGAAGAATGATGCATACCGACTTCATCTTCCGAGCGGCAAACCCATCCCAAACATATGGAATGTGTCACATCTTAAGTTTTATTTCAGTTGAATATCATATGTAATACTATTTGATAGTTAATAAAATGAGGAGATTTCAGGCACGAGATTTTGTATGGATCACTAGCCCGGATAAGCATAACAATTGTCAAGGAAAATATTCAACCTAGGGAACACTTTAAGTGAACTCCTAGAGCTAGTCAATGGGTGAGGACCGTTCTCCATGAACTCTCACCAAATCATGTATTTCTTGAACCTATGGATGTTCTAAGTGAACTCCCTAAGCTAGTCGATCAGTGAGGAATGTTCTTCGTGAACTCTCACTAGATCATGTCTTTCTTTAGCCTAGGGAACATTCTAAGTGATTCCCGAGAGTTAGCCGATCAGTGAGGAATGTTCTCCGTGAACTCTCACCATATCATGTCTTTCTTTAATCAAGGGAATATTCTAAGTGCACTCCTAAAGCTAGCCATTTGGTGATGAACGTTCTCCTTGAACTCTCACCATATTGCATCTTCTTCCTCCTAGGGAATGTTTTGAGTAAATTCCTACAAATGGCTGATAGGGGGAACGCTCTATTAAAGCCCTGTTTCGTTCTTTTTGGACGAACATTTAAGTGAATTGTCAGATCTAACACATTGAAAAATATTGGAAAGAGAAATCTTAACCGTAAAGCTTAAAGTACCACAAAGCATTCAAACTTAACGCGTAGAGAAACAATACAACAGGTATGAAGAAACTAAGAAATATTTTTTCATTCAAGCTGCTGACATATACATAAGAGGCTGAGCGGAAAACAAGACTACCTAAACATCAAAAAACTTGTTTTCTGAACGGCCCACCACATTGACAATAAAAAGAAAACAAAACACAGGTCGAACAACCTACCAAAACATAGACCCTTCACTCCTCCCCTCCCCCCTCCCCGGTCTCATCGTCAACATTTTCCACAACTACCTCAATTCGTTGAGGCTCTTTAGCAAGGAGCGGCAAGATCTCTTCCTTAGGAGCAGGTGATAGTGGGACATCCGACAACTTACAGTCAACCACCATCCGACAGCTTAGTTGCACTGTGTTATCCCTTTTTCAAAGCCATCAACATGTTCATTGTAAACTTTGTTCCCAAGGTAGAGATTCTCCTTCGTCAACTTCGATGGGAAGAAATACAGAAAAGTAACAGGCATCAGAGTGATAGCAAGGGTCGTACACACGATAGTGAACACCTGCATAAATGTGCACCCGTTCGGATGAAGTTGGATGGGAGCCACGTTCAATTCGTGAATTTAGAAGTCTAAGAAAGGTAGACGATCGCCTAAGTCACGAAAGAAAGTAGAGTACGCGTAGGAAATGTTTGTTGCGTAACCCTCTCTTCCATGGCAAGCACATGTCGCGTAACCCTCACTCGCCACCAAGTACACCCAACCAACGAGCTCCTCCAAAGACAAACCGGTACAGAAGTGAGGAGTCCAGTTGTAGTCATGTACGAGGGGAGGGCAAGATGCCATCCCATTCCCCGACTGTGTCTATCTCAATCATAGCTTTTGCCTCTTCCTTAGAAAGATCTACATTCTCCGCAGCTGGAGCAACTTCATTATTTATGTGCATCGTTACTCTGCCATCAATCGAAGACTCTTCTCGCTCGGTTGACCCCAAAATAGAAGAATCGACCAACAATGACGACTCTGCCGCATCATCAACATTCCCATGACCTTCCTTCTTGACGGACTCCTCATACGGGAAGAGTTTTATGGATGGCATTATTACCTTTGAAAGAAAAAATTTGAATTACTCAAACGCTCGATCATAGAAGAGAGGAAAATGGTAGGCGTGAAAATGACAACGACCCCACTCTCTATATATAGCAGAAAAAATGGTTTTCGCAAGGCGATCGCGACCCTTGATAACTACTTAATCCAACAACCCAAAATACATGACCTTTCGTCTCAAATACGGCACGAATCCTGGGGATCCACGCGTCCCAAAATACATGACCTTTCCTTAAATCCCTGCGCGATTTTATCCAAAGAACTTGCTTAGACTTTGGGGGCCTGTGTACTGTATGGCCACTCGTCTGGCCAATGGACCGAGCGAGCGAGCGACTAACAACTTAGTAACTAAGGATGGAGACAACCGTTGAGATAATTAAAGGGTAATCAATAATGATAAGAGCCATTGATGGCTAGTTAATGAAAATAATAACAACTATTAATGGATAATTAATGAATCTAATTTAACTTTCATTAGAAGGTTTATAAATATAGGTTTGTTATCAAGGTAAAACACACTTTTTTCATGACCTAGCTTTGCTAAACTCATTAATAAACATATATGTCTTGAGCATCAGAATGATTTCTATAGACACTATAACAAAATAAGAAAAATCAATCATTGACACTAGTGCAGAATTGATCTTTAACGTCACCCAATAGACGTCCGTCCACAAAAACACTAATGTAAATAATTGACCGGTGGCATATCCGTAAATAAGTGGGACTGTAGATGTCCGTTTTGGAGGGGGCCGGACGTCTATAATATTATAGACGTCGGGGCCCCTCTAACGGACGTTTAAAAGGCTGAAGCAATGAACTCTTCAACTTCCCTAGCAGCCTCTTAAACATCCATTCTGGGAGGCCGAATGTCTATAATATTATAGACGTCCGGTCCCCTTCAACGGACGTTTAAGAGGCTGAAGAAATTAACTCTTCAACTACTCTGTCAGCAACTTAAATGTTCGTTGTGGGAGGCGGATGTCTATAATATTATACATGTCGGAGTCCTTCCAACGACGTTTAAGTGGTTGATCAAGTTATCTCTTCAAACCGCCACTTACTTCTTTGTAAACAATGGCTACCACCGACACATAAAAGCATGGTAAAATCCTCTACTTAAAAACTGAACATAGGGTTGGTTTTTGGTAGTGATAAAATAATAAATAGCCGCTGCCGACGTTGCTAGTAGAGAATGGAACGGGAGAGGAGTCTGCATTTAGTGTAGATTTTTGTGAGATAAGATTGTGTAGGAGTGAGAAGAAGATATGAAGAAGCAAGCATCAACCCGTTTGCTGATGTGGGTTATGATTTGTCTTCAGGTTTATCTGATAATTGCAGCTGTGTCATTGTCGGAGTCCAATGACTCCACTTCTGTGTGCAATGGCTCTGTAGAGGACTGCCTCCGCCTCCACCACTTGGACTCACAGCTTCCCACCGTCTCCAGCTCCCACTTCCAAAGAATGCTTGCTGAATCCAATCGCCCGACGGATGGTACTGGAGATCCTAATAACCCCGCCATAAAGTGTAAGACGGCCCAGGACTACAGATCATGTCTGGCGGCGTCTCAAGGTCAGGACGCACATTGTGGCACCTACAACAGGGGAACGAGATGCAGTTGAATGGGTGAAACTATTATGTTCGAATGCTTTACTTTCCTCCCTCCACTGTGTTGTTATGCTTCGTCTGTGTGTGTGGGTATATGTATGCTTAATTTACGGTTTTCAAATTCATTCAACATTGNGTGGTTGATCAAGTTATCTCTTCAAACCGCCACTTACTTCTTTGTAAACAATGGCTACCACCGACACATAAAAGCATGGTAAAATCCTCTACTTAAAAACTGAACATAGGGTTGGTTTTTGGTAGTGATAAAATAATAAATAGCCGCTGCCGACGTTGCTAGTAGAGAATGGAACGGGAGAGGAGTCTGCATTTAGTGTAGATTTTTGTGAGATAAGATTGTGTAGGAGTGAGAAGAAGATATGAAGAAGCAAGCATCAACCCGTTTGCTGATGTGGGTTATGATTTGTCTTCAGGTTTATCTGATAATTGCAGCTGTGTCATTGTCGGAGTCCAATGACTCCACTTCTGTGTGCAATGGCTCTGTAGAGGACTGCCTCCGCCTCCACCACTTGGACTCACAGCTTCCCACCGTCTCCAGCTCCCACTTCCAAAGAATGCTTGCTGAATCCAATCGCCCGACGGATGGTACTGGAGATCCTAATAACCCCGCCATAAAGTGTAAGACGGCCCAGGACTACAGATCATGTCTGGCGGCGTCTCAAGGTCAGGACGCACATTGTGGCACCTACAACAGGGGAACGAGATGCAGTTGAATGGGTGAAACTATTATGTTCGAATGCTTTACTTTCCTCCCTCCACTGTGTTGTTATGCTTCGTCTGTGTGTGTGGGTATATGTATGCTTAATTTACGGTTTTCAAATTCATTCAACATTGTAACTATGAATCCTGTCTTAATGTAATAATGGATTGCTGAATTCTAGTTGTACTCTTCAAGCTCAGGAGGAATGAATCTAAATCTCCTGTAATCTTCACCTCTTTCACCATTTATTCCATTTTTAGTGCTTTGTCAGGTCAATTAAGATCTCCTTTTTAAGTAAAGTTCATCAGTTTTAACGAATCCTTTCCATGTTTTAATTAAATTTTGAATATCTAGACAATTTTGAAAAATTTTAGTTAACTTTTTTTTAAAAAAAATCTTAAATTGTTCTTTTTATATTTCATCTCCAATTAGTCGATCAATCCACTATTCATTTCTCTAACCTTCTTCAGTCTACCGGTAAATTTATTTTTAGAGAATGAAAGACCAAGCCAAGTGACGAGTTGAGAAGATTGACGACGAAGCTAAATTGTTTGTTTCAATTAATGTCATCAAATAACAGTCTTTAATAAAAAAAAAGGTTAGTATAGTTTTATAAGCTTTGCTGAAAAACGTATCATTTGACAAACCTATTTAAGGTTTTATCTTTTCTTTTATTTCTGTCAATTTTATTTTTGGAGTTTAATATTAATTATTTCCTACACATACATATTAATACACTTATTATATTGAAATATTTATATGCTGAATATGACGCTGTTTTTTATTTCTTATTTTGAAATTGCAAAACTATAATATAAAACCATGAATTTAATTGTCGTACACTACAGAAAAAGTGCTGATTACCGGCGGTAATTTATCGAAGACCTTAAAGCCTTCGGTAATGAGTTGGTGAATTAAAGTACGGCCTAAGAGCCTTCGGTAATCTCTTCGATTAATTTTGTCCCAAATCATCGTATTCCCTCTCTGTAATTCATTTCCCACCAACAGCTCGTCCCTTCTCCAAAATCGAAAACGCTAAACCCTTCTCCATTGCACGAAACACTTGCTCGAAGACTTGGTTTTCGCATCAATCCTAGCTAGGAAATCGTTGGACGAGTGCTTTGCCGTAATTTCTGTGACGACGTGGTTAGTGTTTGCCTTCGCATTTTCTGTCAATTCCTTGCACGAAACATCTTTTTAATTTGTGTGTTTTCCCCTAATTTGACCAATGTCTTGCAGAATCGTGGTGGGTAGGAAGCTCCATTAGAGTTGAATCGTGGTGGGACGAGGGTTTGGTGGTTGGCAGAGGCTTCATGGTTCGTCGACGTTGGCGTGAGGAGGCGACAGTGCTGAGGAAAGGCTCGCTGGTCCGTTCAGCGAGGTGGAGGTTTGGTGAAGCTCTGGGCTTGGAAGAATAAGTCGTCTCGTTCTCTGCAAATCGAACCAGGTTAGTTTTATTTAAGAAAATGCCTATTTGCAATGTAATTTCAATCCTGCTAATGTTTGATGTTTGTAAGTTGTGATTGGTTATTGAATGTTGAATGTTGAATGTTGTGATTGGTTGTGGTCTGAGAGGATATTAACAACGTTAATATATTTCCATTAACTTCGTTTAACCCATCGTTCGGATTCGTGGTTTATAATAACCATCAGTTTTAAACGTTCGGATCACAAGTAGAAAAATGTGGTGGAAAAACATTGTGAATGTAACAATTTTATGGATAAAAAATCAATCAGGATACTTTTTTTCCTTGGCTGAAGTTTCCATACATAGGGCATTGACTTGTTTAAAGCAGTCCAAGCAACCAAAACCAAACGCAAACATAAACTTAATAGTTATAGACTCAAAATGTCCTTCCTGCTAAGTAGGGTTTTTTTACTGAAGTAGGCAAAAATGGATTGCAATTTATGTATCTAGCAATTTTTTTTACGGAAATAGGCAAGTTGGTACCCCCAAGACAACTTCATATGAAAAAGTTGTGCATGGGGTGCATGATTTTGCCTTTGACACTCGAGAAAAAGTGAATTCGTGCACCCCCACACATTTTCAAGTTCTGGTAATTGATTATTAGACCTTTTGTAATCGATTACACAGTGTTAAAGTTGTGTATGAGGGCATAACTTCATTTGTAATCGATTACACCCTTGTTGTAATCAATTATAAGAAGTGTAATTCGAGAAAAACTCTTTGGTAATCGATTACTATTGTTGTAATTGATAAAAAACTCTCTGTAATCGATTATGGGTTGGTGATAATTGATTATCAAAGCCTTTTAAGTGTTAAAGCTAAAGGTTTTTGTGATTGCCATTTATGATGAACCCTATTTCTTCACCCTCTTGATTACATTGATATATATTGACATAATTATTAATCCATTTTTTGTGTTGGTTTATGTTTAGTGCAATGAACCTTTTTTATTTATTTATTGTTTAGATAATTTTTGGAAAAATTTTAAAGTCGATAATTTTTTAAATTGTTCAAAGTAGATACACTTTTTAAATTGTTCAAAGTAGATACACTTTTTAAATTGTTCAAAGTAGATACACTTTTTAAATTGTTCAAAGTAGATACACATTTTATAATTGATAGATTTTGAATTTGGTATGTAATTATAAGAAGTATCATTATTTCAGAGTCAAAACAAATTAAAACCATAAAACAAAATGATAAACAAAATATAAACTATTTTATTAAATAATAAAGTGCTTACAAGAAGATAACAATAAAAATAAAACAGAGTATAATAAAACTAAAATCTAAGAGTATCCTCCTGATAGGCCAAAATGATGATATAGATAATCGATGTCTTGCTCCAGATGTCCAACTCGAATATCAATGTTATCGACTCTGTCACCCATGTTTTGCTTGAGATGTCCAACTCGAGCATCCATACTACTGAAGTTGTCACAAACAAATGCTCGCATATCGCGTATCTCATTCATTATTTTTGTAAGTGAGAAAGTATCTTGTTGAGGGGAGGCGGTTAGCGTTGACGAGGAATTGTCAGAGCATCTTAAGATCTTTTGTGAATCCACTACCCATCATCGTTTTTAATAAATCCAAAGGAAAAGATGACATCGACAACAATTTTGAAGGACCTTTTCATAGGCACAATTGGCTCATCATCCAAAGGAATATCAAAATATTGATTGAAAATGATGATCAAGTGTAGATACGGTAAAGAGACTCCCTCCCTCAAAGCCTTCTTCATCCCCTGTTGGATGAGATGAGACTAGTTGATCTCCCTTGATGTCAGGATGACCCAAATAAAAATCAGATCTACCTCGATAGCCTAAGCAAGGTTAGATGATCGAGGAAGAAAAATACAACAAATAACATAATGTAGTATTTGAGTTTCCACTTTCATGGTTGCTAGTATTCTACCCAAAAGGTTTGCATTCGGGTTATAAATCATTTGCCTAGCCTCTAGTGTATGATAATCATCTGATCATTCAAGTATATTACCCTTAAAACGCAAGCCTATAGATGGGAGGTTGGTAAGAGAATAAAAAAGGTTGTAATTTATGCTCATTCTCACATTTTTGAACTCATTATGAATGACGCCATTGTTAGAAATACGTAGGTTACTATAGAAAACACAAACTAAGTCAGGGTAATATTGTGATCTGTGTACAAACAAAATCAACTAAACCAATATTTGTCAATATATGGTAAAACTTAAAAAAACAATTCGTCAAAATATTCTCGGTCTAGGTATTTTAGTTCTATCATTTCATGGTAAAAAAGTTTGAAAAATACCTTTTCGGTTATGCAGTGATATAAAGTAATAGATTGGGGCGTGATGGATTTGGCGATGGTGGTGAAGGTGGGCTTTCAGTGGGTTAATGTCGGCGACGTCCCACATCAAAAGAAGAGGAGCTTCTTTCCCTTTGTCTTTTAGATGAATCCGCCATTGAAAATTTAGGAACTTTTAATCGGTGCAAATGATAGAAATGTTAAAGCAGTTTGAGATTTTAGTTGTTAGGATTGAAAGGGAGATGAAAATGGGGGGTTGGGGTTTGGAGCTTCTTGGTGGGCAAAAATAGAGGATCAACTAGAGGAAAGGGAGGGGAGTGAGAGATTGTGTAAGAAATGAGAGAATAAGTTGAATTTATAAGGACTAAGATTTTTGGTAATCAATTACATGGTTTGTATAATTAATTACCATATGCATCCGGTAATCAATTATAAGGTTTCTAAAATCGATTACCAGAAGTCTCTCGTAAGCAATTACACAATCTTGTAATCGATTACCAGAACCCTGTAATTGATTATCAAAACCATGTAGTTGATTACTAGAAAGTTTAGGGTATACTCTAAGTAGTTTTGGTAATTTTTATAATTTACATATAAATTTATATAAATAAATAATATAAATGTTATTTTCTATATTTACGCATCTTGTATT